CCAATATTTGAACAAAAATCATCTTGCGTGATTTTGTTGGCTGCATCAGGCATGGTGGATGTTTTGATTGTCTTACGCTAAACTCTATAAGTTAGAATCCAAGAACAATACTAACCCAATTACAATACTATGTTCACAATCTTTGTGCCCTTGCAGTTAAATGCGGTACTTATTTGACAAAAAAAATAATTTGTAGAATATCTAACGTCTAGAAATCATAAAATCAGTTTAATTTCAATATCTTTATCATTAGTCATGAGCCTACTTAACAATAAGAAGAAATCGAACTTCACAGTTAATTTACATATGTCAAGAAATACGTATCTTAAACACTATATCAAACTTTCTAATTTCACTGGATTTAATTCTCACTTCACAATCCATAGATTTAATATTTTGATTCGTGACTGATATTTAAATGTGACAACTTTGGGTGAACCTAGGTGGTAATCATGTCGTGTCAAGATTATGGCAACCTACTCAACAGTTAACACAATTGATAAACGAATATTTCAAGTTCAAAGATCAAACCACGCAACACAAATTGACTAACGTAATCTATCTACCTATCGTCCCAACTTGATTAGCAACCTGACCTATTTTGACCTATTTATATTTAGCTCAGTAAGTTTTATGACAATAAATTACATATGAATTTCGTTTTCAGATTGGCTACAAATTACACCATACAAATACAAGATTTTATGTAAACCTAGGATTTAGTATGCTTAAGGCTTTGACATTGAAGAAGATATTCACATTGCACATATTGTATTAGTTATTCAAGCTGTGTCGGTCCTGTTTGGATTGAAATGACCCATTCAATCTAACTAGTTAAACAGGTTATTCATCTCTTGTCATTTGTTGACATATTTAACAAATGGGTCATGTTCGAATAGAGTGTTCTAATAAGTTTTGTTAAGATTATACTTAAAATATGGACCTTTAGAGAAAACCGAAGAGCAGAAGAACGAAAGAAAACCTAGAAACTTGGAACAGTGAGAGAGAAAATGCAGAGAACAGAAACAGATGTTTTTTAAATAATGTTGTTGTATTGATTTCTCTCCTTTATGATTAACAAAGAGATGATAGGTTTATATACACTTGCAAAGAATCTGCATAACAAAAATCAGTTTGAGTTTGAATGAGTTTGAATGAGTTATAGATGTTGGTTGCTTGGTTGTCCGTGTGCAGAGAAGCTGGAAGTTTCTCGCTGAACCAAGTCTTGTGCAGGAGAATAGGAAGATGCAAACTGCTTGGGTGACATGACAATTTGATTTGGGCTGGAAGCTGATTTGGACATGGTTTGACTTGTTCAACACTTATCCTGCTCGGATTGACCTATCTACCAGTCCGCTATTAACTTGACATTGGCAGACATGACCAGCAAACATGGATTGCCATCTATAATAGCAGATAAATGTTCGTTGAGCAAGCTTGCTGATTGCATTGCATAATGCCACTTTTGAGCAATTCAGTTTCCCGTGAGAGATCAGAGAAGAACACATTCTGATGATAAAGGATTCTTGCAGGAGGAATTTCTTGTTGAGAAGTAATGAGCGTAACATTAAAGTAATAACAAAGAAAACTTACTTCAACATCATGCAGTGAAACTGTACCATCTTCAAGTCCCAACACAACAACCTTGCCATCAGGACGCCAACATAATGATGTTATACATTTACCTGGAGTAACATTAGAACAATAAAGAGAAGCCAGTATTGATGACACACAATGAATGTGCAAAGAAAAGTGAGATCAAAAGAAACAATGAATGTGCAAAGAAAAGTGAGATCAAAAGAAACAATCAAAAGAGAGAGAGAGAGAGAGAGAGAGAGAGAGAGAGAGAGAGAGAATAATTTGTTCACAAAAAAATTAATAGATGAAGAGGGAAGATAGAGAACACACAGTAACTGAGAAAATGTTAATCAAAATTTGTGAAGTGAGGCAAAGCGTCATAACAGTACAAGATAACTGAGGGATATTGGTCACTTAATATGGGATTTCTTTGGACTAGTAGGTCATCTAAAGCGAGGGAATCTATATCTTTTTGGCGACCTCCAATCCATTATCTCCATCCAAAAAAGAATCTTGCAGTTCAGCTTTGGAACCTCAAGGTGGAGTGGATCCACGAAAGCATACTTCAGGCGAGGTCGCAAGTGTTCTAGTATCTACAACTTGGGATCTCAACAGAAACCATTCAAATATTGGCTCAAGTACTATAGTGCACTCAACAACATGTTCTCCAAATTTAGAAGACAATATGATGCACAAAGCATTCAGATGTTTCTGGAGAAAGAACGCCTCCTCTCTAAATTTTTCCAGTGAGAAGAGATAGCAAGAACTGCCAAGGCTAGGCATCTAATCCGAAGCTCTTACGATTTTGAATTACCAAGATTTAAAGTCATATGAGAACTTAACATACTTGAATGCAGCTCACCCTACACTCCTAGTCTCTTCGCTTTCTCCAATTCCTCCCTCCATCCCTCTCGACCAGATTGTCAAACAAGTATGCAGCATAGCTTGAGATATCCTATTAACAAGTAAGTTAAAATCCCACCAGCGAACTTAATTAATCAAAATGCTGTGACAAAATGCCCCTCTGTAATAAGGAGAAGATAAGTTAATTTCAAGCAATACAAAATGTGAGAAACTTTCCAGCCTATACTCTACATTCTAGTATCCATTAAATCTCTCCTTGTAGGGAACGCTCAATAAGTAAAAGAAGAGGAGCAAGAAGTAATATTACATTGTGAGAGTCAGCATCAGAAATCTAAGGAAAACTATATAGATGCCTGATGGCATTGGGATGGTATTCTGCAGGGGCTAAACCTGCCAACTCCATGTCGGCATCTAGCATTTCTGCATCTCTAGCTTAAATGATGTCCCCTCCAATTCAAGTTCGTTATTTTCATGGACACTTTAACTGGTGTATCGAAAGGGAAACAAGATGGCAAAGCAGGAGCATGGTACACTTCCACTTGGTCTAGCAGTTGACAGGAATAAATAAAAGTCTTTCCATTTAACTGATATCAGCTTGGAATTCTTTACTTGCAACAAAGTCATCTCTAAATTTCCACTCGTATCACCATCATTCGCTCTTCATTTTTGTGTAAAACACCAATTCCTTAAGTTCAACGTGATCTTCTCATTTAGAAATTCAAGCACTTTACCCCTCTATGTTCGTCCAATTCTCCATCGAATGCAATTTGAACTAGAAGGAAGCGCAGCACATTTAGGAAAAGCGAAAGAAGTAAGACGAGATAAGGCCAATGACTCAGAGGGCACAGCAAGCCATCGTCGAAGGACACGAGCAAACTGAACAGAAAAGACAGAACTTTCTCTCGAATCGAAGCAATTACCAGGAGAGATGGTCCACAGCCTCTGCCAATTGAAGCGATGAAGCACCACCTTCGAGTCCTCCGTGACCATGGCCAGCAAATCCTTCTCCGGATTCCACTCCGCCATCTTCACCTGCCAATTGCAAAACCCAGCAAAAACCTCACATAACCAACCGAGTCGGAAAACAATCGAATCGGCCCGCCCATTAGGAGGTCGCAAAAAGAACGCCCGAACGGGGGGAGCCGAACCTGAGAAGCCAGCGGTTTGTCGAACTGGAGCTGAAACGGAAGCGCACGCCGCGACCCTTCGTCGGTCTCCATTACCTCAAAAAGCTCCGGGAGCAGCCGAAACTGCAGGAGCCAATCAGCCGCTGGAGCGAACCGCGAGGGAGTGTACAGAAGCGTCGGTGGCAAATGCGAACTGAGAGAGAGAGAGAGAGAGGGCTAGTGAAGGATAGGAGAAAGCTCGATGCTACTTAGGGGAACGGAGGGCGGTCGAAGAGGTGAGACGAAGGAGGATGGAAGAGAGAAAGAGCGAGCGAGAGAGAGAGAGTAAAGGAAGGAAGTCCCGGCGGAGTCTTTTGAGAATTGAGAGAATTTGCAGAGAGAGAAATTTGCAGAAATGAGGAACGAGCAGAGGCGGGAGAGAGACAACGAGGAAGAGAAAATGATTGATGGGCGGGCCGCGCCGGGCCGGATCGGGCTATATGCCGGAACCTGAGGATCATCTCCGGACGATCGTCGCCGAACGCGCCGCTGGTGAACGACGGAGGCTTGGTGGAGTGGGGAGTCGGGGTCGGAGCGGAGGGCTGATGGCACGAGAAGAAAATGTCGTCGTCGGGGAGAGAGGCAGAGGCGAATCGTGGAGTGACACGTGATTTCGTCAAGTGAGGGTAATTTTGTCCAAAATTACAATTGGGTGAAAATCCCCGGATTGAATCGCGATTAGGTTCTTCCGCTTCCTTCTTCTTCCTCTCCCGCTGCTGAAGCAAATTGTCGCTTGCGCTCCACGCGAGCGCATTGCCCCACTCTCGATCGCCGCTCTCTCTCCAGAGAAGCTGCTCTCTCCCTCTCATCCACTGTAATTCGTTTTTAGTTGATTTTAAACCTGCCGAACGAGCATCATCATTATGCCTTCTCTTTTGATGCCATCTTTGAAGGTTGAGCTGAAAACGGCGGCGACGTGGGGGCGTTCGGACACATAATCCGGCGATCGCCGCCGCCTCCGAGGGCAGTCGACCCAAGATCCGTGGACAGATCTGGCCGAGAAAGCCCCCCTCCTTTTTCTGCTGGGTTTTCCCCTGGATGCCGGCGATGGCGGCCTGACCGCGGAGCTCCTGTTCATTTGGCGAGGGGGCCCCTCTCTCGTCCACGATCTCTCTCTTGAAGGCACGTCGTTCCCTTGGAAGAACCAATTTTTGCCTGTTCTGGGGTTGTATGCCGCGGTGAGGTTGAGGTGCTGATGTTGATTCTCGTGTCAGATCAGACAAGGTCTCAAATTTCTCGGTCGCGGACAGTCCCTAGTTATCCTGGGAAACTCTCTATGTAGTCTAATGAAATAATTACAAAAAAGGTCAAGTAATTGATGCTCATTTACCAAAAATAAAATTTGATGGTATGGCGTGATGTCATTCACTATCCGTGGATGAAAGATAAATATCAATATAAGAAAATTCAAATAGAAATAATGCAACGGTTGATCTCGTACAATACGAATCAGGCGTTTTCTCCGTAGAGAAATTTGCAATACAAACACAAATAATAAAGAACTGCACTCATTCAAGGAAATAAAGAAAGACATATACTATCACTAGTCATTGTTTTCATCCATGAAAATGAAAGAGATTCGATGAAGGATTAGCAGAATGTACGACCAAATCTTTGCGGAGATCCACACGGCATGTCAAATGGATCGTGGGAGTTCTGCGCTCAAAAGAGAAAAAGAAAATGAGCTTGGAGTATTTGTAACACAGCATTATGGCATTTATTGTCGTGACGTGCGAATTTGTCATTTGAGGACATGTATATTACTATCCTAAGTCACCGGCCGGCAAACCCGGAGCTCACTCAAGCCATTTTTCATGACAAATAATTACAAATATTCAATTTAGTGACAAAAGGAGATCCTATTTTGTAGAAATATTCTTAGCCACATAAATTTCCTCGTTTTTCCATTACATGTTACATCTTAAAAAAAATAACATGCTAGGGTGAATTGATACATAAAGAAGTTCCAGAAGTGGCCCTGCATTTGAGGGATTTTAACTTTACGCTTTTTGTTATTTAGACAGCTGTAAAAAAGAATGAAAGCAGTCCAATTGCTCTAAGTGACCCCTGATCTTACACATCTCTCCCAGCATATAACAATATTATATGCTTATCTCCTTTTCTTTTACAAAATTTCACGCGAAAAGTTACGTTGTGCTTGCAGTTAGGAAAGCATTTTTATGGCTATGGCTTCATTCACATGCATTGTTTGTGCCCCTATGCTAGCGCATTTTGAAAGAATGTTGTTGGAAATTTTTCACTTTGTGAGAGTTATTGGATTAAATCCGATTGTGCAAAGTAAAAAACCTTAGCGAAATAAGAATGTATATTACAAACATAATTAGAAATTAGTTATAAGAAGTTGAACCACATCACCATAAAAATCATGAACATAGATATGTGCAACTAAATTGATTGGACAAATTAATTGAATATTTTGATAGTTTTATAATAAGATTGAGAAAATTATTTTTTCCTGAAGTAGGAAAGTTAAATTGAAAGTGAACAGATTTCTTTGTGCGTTAAGTTTTCATGCGTATAAAGCTACAATAAATAATTTTTTTATTGGATGATTTATCTTCATTAACGATTTTTTTGGCTGATGATTTCATTTTCATAGATGTTGATCATGCGCATTTTGCATTGGCTCCATCCGACCCTCCAACAATTTGTATTAAGCCAAGTGTCTTGCCAACAAATATTATCCAAGAGCCTTCAAAATACATTATTTGGAGTAGCAATCATTCATGGTATAAATTTTTTTTTTGGTTTTATTCTCTGACTTAAATTTTTTAGATAGCATTGCGAATTGAGTGTGTAGTTTTAAGTATAACTCAGTATTAAATGCAACTTCTAATTTTTTGGTCGAATTTAAATTGGATTAAATACTTTCTAAATAGAATTATTTAATATTGAATTCCTTTTGCAATCAAATGATCTACTATTGATTGTATCTTAGTAAATATTTTTTTTCATATCATTTTTTTTCTTTTTCTAATTGCAATACTTTAATTAAATTTTAATTCGACTGAAGAATTAAGTGAATTGCTATATTACATCCAAGAACAAAGAAGAAATAGATAGATGATTACCTAATCCTCCGTCCATTGTACAGGTATAAGATCAAGTTGGATTCGAGGAATGTGAGCAATTTTGGGCCAATCCTCGCCAGTTGTTGGTTGACATCTCTCGCTCAGTTCACCACAATGTTCAACACGCAATTCTTTGAGGGCAATGAGGGACTTGATTTCTTGCGGCATAGATGATAAGTTGGGACATTGGATCAAGCGAATTATTCTGAGACGTGTATGATTGGATAGCCATTCGGGTACAGTAATGAAGCTCGGGCAATCATAGACAGAAAAGGACTCCAAAGCGCAAGAAGACTTATTGAAACATTGAAGCAACTCCATCACTTGTTCGAACATTGATATTGCCAGCGTACGAAGATTCGGAAAAAAGATGGAGTTATTCCCTTTGGTCAATATGAGCTTGCAATTACCAATATTCAAGTACTCTAAGGCGATTAATTCCACAAAAGGCAGAGATATTGGTCTCCCACAATCTTCAATTTCCAACTCCCGAAGGCGAGTTAGTTGGCAAGTGCCTTCAAATAAAACTTGGAGATTTTGGCATCCAACGAGTCCCAAATATTGTAGATTTTCTAGGTATTGTATTCCACATTCTTGCAAACTTTTCTGCTTTGTTGTTACGCATATATGTCTAAGACTGACAAGCCTCTTCATATTTTTGGGTAAATCATCTAGCTTTGAGCAACGATTGAGTAATAAGTGTAGCAAACTCTGCAGCTCACAAATGGTATCCGGAAGCTTCTTCAATTGCTTGTTTTCAGAGAGAAGTAACGACCTCAATTGCTTCAAGTTGCATATGGAACTTGGCAGCTCCTCAAAACTACCACACGGCAAATCTAGATACCGCAAGTGGTTACATTTGGAGATGCATGTTCTAGCAAACTCTCTAGTAATAACTCCATCATCAATATTGAATTGAAATTTAATTGCACGGAGCCTCTTTGAAGTTGGCTTTCTCATAAAAGGTGGGACACCATCAAAATTTGAAATTCCCTCTAACGAAGAGCTAGAGAACGAAATGTACCGAGCTCCTTCCGAAATCTCTACGGTATCTAAGCCAACAACAGAGGAATCATTTTGTGCCACAATCATTGCAAGAGAATGGACTAGATCGTGCACTTTAAAAGTTAACACTGATTCGGACTCCTCAACCTCTTGGATCAAAGATCTCTTCCACAACTCTTTGATGTACTCAACATCAACCTCTTCCGATGCTACTTTTTCCCTTGATGAACTAATGAGTCCTAAAGCCATCCATAACCAAACAAACTCAGTGCTAAGAATTTCATATCCTCTGGGGAAAAGTGAAAATGTGGCAAAACAACGTTTTAAGTGGGACGGTAAATGATCATAGCTAAGCTTAAGAACCGGCAAAATATCATTTTTTTCTTCTACTAACTTCCATATCTCGCTATCTCTTATATAAGCCCAATACCGTTCTTCGCCCTTTGTGTAAAGTAGACTTCCCAAAGTTTTCACAAGGAGAGGAACTCCTTGACATTTTTTGACAATGTCATTTCCAATGTCAAGGAGATCAGAACGTGATTGCTTTTCCTTTTGATTGAATGCCCATTTTTTGAACAAGGCCATGGAGTCTTCATGATAAAGACCTTTTAGATTATGCGTTGGATGGGTACCCATAATAGAAGCAACTTCTGTGAAGCGCGTTGTGACAATTATCTTGCTTTCACTAGCTCCTTCGGTCAGCAAAGCTTTCAATTCTTCCCACCTACTGCGGTCGTTGCTCCATACATCATCTAAGACTAGTAGAAATTTCTTGTCTTTGATGGTGTCTCGCAGAAAGGTTTGTGATTGTTGACTATTAAGGTTACTCAAGCTTTGACCAGTTGCTTTGATGATTTCATCGATAGTTTTTTTAAAATCAAAGTCCTCAGGTACACACACCCATAGTCGCAACTCGAATTGCTCCTTCACACTGTCGTCATTGTAAACTAATTTAGCTAGAGTCGTCTTACCCATACCTCCTATTCCAACTATGGGAATCACCGAGAGGTTTTTGTCATCTGGTCGCATCAATATCTCAATTATCTTTTGTTTATCAACATCTCTTCCAACGACATCCAACTTGTTTATGAACGAGTGAGTCATCTCTCGTGATCGCAAAGGCGCCACTCCACTGTCAACACTCCTCACATTAAGATTGAATTGATCCTTTTCGATGGAAATTTTAGATAATGTCTCCCTAATCTCTTTGGTCCTATGACTGATTTTTGCACGGAGTATTACTGGATTAGACAGAGAAAAGAAGCGGTGTACCTTCTCTAAGACACCCCCGTATCGACTGATTACCCGCTTTCGGAAGGCTTCACACTCGAGTTCATCGAGCACATCCTCCGCATCGTACAACACGTCTCGAAGCCGAGCTAGCCACAGTTGCAGGCGGTGGTTCTTCGCCCGTTGCTCCTCAGCATCTAACAACACGGCCGTTATAGCAGCCAACGTATTTTTAAGCTCGTGGATCTGATCTTCGACGCTGTAAATTGCGATGGCTTCTTGGAACGCCGGGGATGCTATCTTCCCCAGCACACCCTGTGCGATGCCGAAGAGGAGTGATTCAGCCATGCTAAGTTATGGGGAAATTGATTCAGGCTATTTGGTTTTGAGACGAGTAGAAGATCGAGCACACTATGTCTTCCTTTTGTGAGTTAGCTGCTGCGACGACGACTTCCTTACGGTTGGATGAAAGGAAGGTTCCATCCTTACGCGCGGCCGGCAAGTCAACAGAAACGCGCTTCCTACCATTCCTTTATCTTACTTAACCAGGAATGAAGACTTTCGGTTCCGATCAGATAGCTACCGCTCTGTCTTTCCTTGAAAGAGTCGTCCCAAATAATTTGAGGAGAAAAGGGATGGGCTACCCAGATTCACCAAGAAACGCGATAAACTGATACTAATTCTAAAATTAAATTAACACCTAAATAGCATTCGCAGTTTAGTGATAATTCGATGCACCTTTGCTAGAATATTTTCATGAATTAGATCACCGGCCATTGCAAAATCAAATATAAGTATCGACTACTGTACTCTTTTGGAGTATTGAATGAACATAAACATAAAATAAAATAAAATAAAATAAAATAAACATTCTTTAGGAAAAACTTTTATATTTCATGCTCTGTTTGTTTTGCGGAACATTAATAATTCGGAAAACAATTTCTTAAGACCGATCATTTGTATCACTTGAAATAATTAGCCAATGAATAATGTTTTCATTGTCAGCATAATTTATGTATGAATATTTTTGTAAATGATGAAAATATATTTCGTTCATTTATTTCTATAAGCAATATAAGCGATTATTTTTAAGAAAATATTTTTTGAATAATTTATTTTTCGTAAAGCAAACGAAACTTTAATCACAGATGTTCATGCAAAAGCCATTTTGCTTTCTGTTTTGCTATGACAACTACGAACAACATGCGACAGCCAGGAAAGCCCTAATAAGTCTTTTTTTTTAATCTCATTAAAATCATGCATGCAACAGATTTTATCTATATTTCAAACAACTCATTTACTAATCCTCAAAATAACATTAACTCACAAAACCCCGACTCTCACTTCGCTGGAGAACGTCGTTCTCCAATGGGATTTGGAGGATGGAGGGGACGGGTTAACCAAGACCGCGGTGGATTTGCAAGGCGGCAAGGAAGAGAATTTGATCGATATTGACATTTCTCCGGCCTGAAAGTATCAAAATTTATAGTTTATATTCGGCTAATCCATCAAATTGATATTGAATTTGAAGGTGAATAAGAAGATTTTGGATTCTATTTCTTATTTAATTATTTATTTATTGGCGATAAGAGAGTTTTGAGAAACAAAAAGAGGAATCGGTATTGTATACATCAATTGTCAAAGTACGGAGCTTACGTGGAATTACTGAATATTCGTTTTAATAGGATAATATAGGAAGTGGACAAGAGATGACGGTCTTGCACCGACCCATGAAGACCCGGTTGGCTTTGCCCCGCCCCGAGAGCCCTTGCGGGGGCCCGCTCGCATAAGTATTTGTTTTTGGTTATTTTAATGGTGTCATTTACTGATTACTTGTTATTTTATTGTCTACTAATTTTATTAATCAACCTCTATTTTGCTACGGTTCTTTAATTATTTTGTAATATCAGATTAATACTATCTTTTTTTTTTGGGTTTTTACTATTTGAAGCATAAAAGGATTTATGTCGCAGTATTATTGATATCAAAATCCGTTCAAGCTGTGCATGCTCTAGTTTTCTTTTCATCTTGTGTGTAGATTCAGTGTATCTTCGAGATCATCTTCCGATTGATCGTAAGTCAACTTTGTCATTCTGAACAGTACAGCCTCACCGAACTTCTCAGCTTCTTTTCGACATGGTCCCTGCAACTTCTTCCGCTGATTGGTTTTCGATGGACGTATCAGTCCACATGCTCTTCGAAGAATACTCGAAAGATTGCCTGTGTGTCAGTAATCTTTGGGAAACATGGAACAAAATGTGAAACAACGTTTCATTTGGTGCGGCGAATTGTTGTAACTAAGTTTCGAGTGCAGGAAGGATGTTGTTTCTTTGTACTGTTTCCCACACACTGCTATTGTGCCTTATTGATGCCCAGAATTGTTGATTTGGCCCCCAAGAGATTTCAGAGCTAGAGGAACTCACTTGGATTTCTCGACGATTGTGATTGTGATAGCGAACCGTGCATTTTCATGCCATTGGAAAAATAGTAGGGATATCAAGAGAGCTTTATGAGTTGCAGATGATGAAGGGATAATGACACAAACTGTTCTTGAAATTTGACCCAATATACAATTTGGTCCCTGAATTTTAGCATAATATTTAATTAGGTCCCTGAACTTTTAAGTTGTTCAATGTGGTTCCTCAACTTTTGGTACATGTTCAATTTAGTCCTTGAACTATATAAAAATATTTAATGTAGTCCTTGAACTTGAATTAATGGAAAGACTACATTGAACATTTTCATATAGTTCATGGACTAAATTGAACATGTACCAAAAGTCTAGGGACTATATTAAATAAATTAAAAGTTCAGGGACCACATTGTACATTGGGTTAATGTTTAGAGACTGCATTGAACAAATTAAAAGTTCAGGCACTATATTGCATATTGGATCAAAGTTCAGGGACTATTTGTGTCATTTTCCCGATGATGAATGCCAATCGTCTCTCATCTTTGGTAGAAGATCATTTGGCTATACTAAAAAGTATTCCAACTGAAAGGATCGTTCTATTTTACATGCAATGAACCGAACATTAAGATTTTAATATGGTGTGACTAAACCATTGGTTCATCTAGGACATATGGATTAATCGTTATCTTTTTGTTTTCTCACTTTCAGTGTGAAAACTGGTTTCACCTTTGAAGGATACCGATTTGGCTAAATCTACGGACCGAGCCCCTCAACCTCATTCTCATCTTCAGGATGTCCAATTTGGGCAAATCTGTGAACTCTAGTTTAGTCATGAAATCAACCGAGGAGTTGCTGAACTTATGAGGAACCATAGCATACACAATCATGAGTCCAAACAAAAGTACTTGGGGGAGACTAAATCTGATGAAGGCTTCGAGCAGATAATAAAAACATTTATTGTTCATGCAATTAGCCTCTGCGAATTCATGTTCTAAGATTCAGTCTTAGGAGCAAAAGGAAAAGAAAAATCTAATCTTCCTATGTAGAAGTGAAGAAAAACAAATTCAAAACGAAAAAGACACGATTTTTTAAATGAATTATTCCTGGGAAACACTCTATGTAGTCTAGCGGAATACTTACAAAAAGATCGAGTAAATGACACACATTCACCAAAAGTGAGATTTGATGATGCGGGGTGACGTCATTCATTGCCTGTGGATGAAAAACAAATTTCAATAGAAGAAAATTTAAATAGAAATAGTGTGACGATTGGTCTCATACAATACGAATTAGGCGTTTTCGAGAAATTTTGCAATACAAACACAAACAAATAATAAAGAGCTGCACTCATTCAAGGAAAGAAAGAAAGGCATGTAATATCACTAACCATTGTTTTTCAACCCTCAAAATGAAAGAGATTGACAAAGGATTAGCTGAGTGTATGTCCAAATCTTTGCGGAGATCCACATGGCTCGGCAAATAGATTGTGGGAGTTCATCTGCGGTCAAAAGAAAAAAAAAAAGGAGAAATGAGCTTAGAGTATCTATAACATAGTATTATTGCATTTATGGCGGCGTCATGCAAATTTGTCCATCTTTTTTTGGTACAATAGACGAGCTCCTTTGGAGCTAGGTGATGGCCCTAACGGGCCCACCTACAAACGACCCAAATATCCCCCACCCCGACTTTGACATTTTGTTAATGCAAAACATTTAAAAACTTTCACAACATATAAGGCAAGCATATTCGTATATATTTGTTTCATAATTTTATGACATTTGAATAACATTTTAAATTTTAGAGAGTAAGCAAAAATATACTTTTTGCTTTTGCTTAATCAGAAACAAACAGACCCTAAAATTGTTGAGATGTGGACCTATAGATTACTATCCTAAGTCACTACCAGGCAAACCCGTGCCTCACTCGGGCCATTTTTCATAACAAATAATTACAAATGCTCAGTTTTGCGAGAAAAGGAGATCCTATTTTGTAGAAATATTCTTAGCTACATAAACTTCCTTTTTTTTCCATTACATGTTACATCTTGAAAAAAATAACCAGCGAGGGTAAATTGATATATAAAATGGTTCTAAAAGTGGCCGTGCATTTAAGGGATTTGAACTTTACGCTTTTTGTTATTTAAACAGCTATCCAAAAAAAAAACATTGTGCATTGAAAGCCGTCCAACTGCTCTAAGTATAAGGTAATGAACCCGACAGATTGAGCTATCTGCAATATTATATGTTTATCTCCTTTTCTTTTATAAAGATTTAACTCGAAAAATTACATTGTGCTTGTAGTTAGGAAAGCATTTTTATGGCCATCGCTTCGTTCATGTGCATTGTTTGTGCTGTTATGCCAGTGTGTTTTGAAAGAACGCTGTTGTCACACTTTTACGTGTTGTATTGTGAGAGTTATGGAATTAGATCTGATTGTGTAAAGTAAAAAAATAAGAAAAAGCTTTGTGAAATAAAACAATATATATTACAAACATAATTAGAAAATAGTTATAAGAAGTCGAACCACGTCACCTTAAAAATCGTGAACATAGATATGCGAAACTATTTTGACTGGACAAATTAATTGAATATTTC